GATCTGAGATTGGGTATGATAGAAAAAACATGTACAACCTTTTAACCAGATAGACAGAGCAACAGACAAAGTGAGTTTATATAAGCTATGTAATAATATTTTTATAATTTATATTTTTAACAAAAAATATTTTCTTCAGGACCATCAAAGTTCAGTGTTATGATTGGAATGCCAGTGGCAAGTAAGTTTTAGTGCGATTTAACTAAAAACTTTGTAGCTCTAAAAAATGTAATTGATTTTTTCTTATTACTTTTATAAACAAGCATTAATTTAAAGTGATTTTTTTTTTTTTTTTTTTAATAAGAATCATATGTTTTAAAAGTGTTTTTTTTTTTAAATTGCCTTAATTCAGATTATTTTTTTTTTCAATTAGCCATGAATTGATTGGTGAATTTTTAACCAATGTGAGAGAATTATCTTCTAATCAGGCCAGAACTTTTGAGGTAAGCTTATATTATAATGATGTAAAATGAATTTAGGAGCAATTAAATGTTATCATTATTTTCTTTATACAGTGTTGGTTATAAACCACTCTCTTTATAAACATTGAATTATTACAATTTATTAAATTCTTTTTTTTTCTAGCTGAAGAATCCAAAGTCAAGAAAGAAAAAAGATTCAGGAAAAGTGAGCACCTTTACTTACTAAAAATAATTTTGAACAGTTCATTGGACAACAGTAATTAAACAAAAGGAAAAAAATAAAGCTACTAACGTTTGTCATGTTGTTATGTTATTCAGATGACTTTTTTAAATATAATTGTTCACAGATCCACATCCATGGTGCTATAGAGGTAGAGAATACATTCATTGACTACATCAGGGGAGGGTAATTATTAGTTTCTTATGTATTCATTTTACTGTAAATAAAAGTAGGCTCATTTGTTGTATTTAGTTTTCTTATCAATCATAATGGACTGCAAGTTTATAATTACAAATTCTTAGACATGCATACAACTTTTTTTATTGTGCAGTATGCAAATGAACTTCACAGTGGCCATAGATTTTACAGCATCCAATGGCAATCCTCAGAGTCCAGAGTCATTACATTATCTAAACCCATATTGTCCTAATCAGTATGCTTCTGCTGTCACAGCTGTAGGGGAGATCATACAAGACTATGACAGGTTAGTGTTTACATATTTGTTTTTTCTTTATCCTCTTTTATAATTCTGTGTCAGCTTAGTCAGATGTATGTCTCTTTGTAACTACTCCACCAATCTAACTTAAAGGGTGTTGGTTAAACTAGTCAATCATTGACAAATCCAATTGTCTTAGCCAACATCTCTTAAGAACTTGCATCAGAAGTTAAAGTTTGAAGCAGTTTGTCTTTTAGGAATCTTAAAGGGGTAACATGATATTGATAATTGCTAACTAAAATAAATAGAATTTGACTTTGAAATATGAGAAATAATGTTTCAAAATGCTCATGGTTAATGCGCTGTAGAAATTTATCAAATTTACATAAGTTAGAAATTTACAGTGCTAGAAAAGACAGTTGTAATGTAGTCTATCCATCAAATTTATTATAAGGCTTGTCTTCGAGTCCAAAGATTAATGAGGAATTATAACACAAATCCATCAATCTAATTTACATTGATAACATAAAGCCACCACGCATCTTGATAATATTAATCTATCAATCAAATTCACAGTGATAACATGTTTCCAGCCCTTGGTTTTGGAGCTCGAATGCCAGATGGTTCTGTATCCCATGAATTTCCTTTGGTGAGTACAGTTGCCATTATACTCACACATTATGTAGACTGTAACACTCATTAAAAGACATGCACTAAAACTGTGTTCTTTGGGTTCTTGTTAAGTAAATATTTAAAGGACAGTATACATTTGTAGACTTAATACAGTTATCTTAATTGTAGTTATGTATATATTTAACTTAATATTTGTTTTGCTTATGTTTAGCACTCATAACTTAAAGGATCTGACATAAATACAAGACTCATTTGTAATCAATTATATTCATCAAATTTCTCTTTTGATTTGTCAGAACTTTGAGCCAAGCAATCCTTTCTGCCCTGGTGTGCAAGGTGTCCTTAATGCATATTATCAAGCTTTGTCTAGAGTACAGCTGTATGGACCCACTAACTTTGCACCTGTCATAAACCATGTAGCCAGGTAAATTCTCATATTATTTATCTATATACTATCTATGCTAAATTTAAGCAAGTTTTCACTTATGCTACTTTCTTATGTCATATGTCCTGATTTCTATTTTCTTTAAATCAGACCTAATTTTTTCTTGTTAACTATATTGCTAAACTTTAATATACAACAACATTACATTGATACATTTTATTTCTGCCCTATGCCATAAGTGCATTTGATTCCTACTTCAGTTTTAAAGCCAATTTCACTTATCTACTAACTTTAGATTTGCAGCAGCAGTGAGAGATGGAACAGAATATTTTGTTCTTCTTATCATCACGGATGGAATCATTACAGACATGCCTCAGACAAAAGCTGCCATTGTTCAAGTAATACTCTGATAATGCTTCTTCATTGTAATTAGTCCTAATTCAAAGATAACACATCTAAAGTTGTATGAAAGTAAAGGCCTAATTATGTTCTTTTTTTCTTTTGTTGATAACTTGTTGATATTTTGTGTACTTTTCAGGCTTCTACACTTCCAATGTCTATTATAATTGTTGGAGTTGGCAATGCAGATTTTACAGGTCATTTTTTTTATATTCATGTAGTGAGCAAAATTGAGGTGCAGTGGCTGAGTGGTAAAGAGCTTGGCTTTATCCCAGGTTTGAATCCTGGTGAAGACTGGGATTTTTAATTTCGAGATCTTTAGGGTGCCTCTGAGTCCACCCAGCTCTAATGTGTACCTGATATTAGTCGGAGAAAAGTAAAGGCGATTGGTTGTTGTGTTAGCCGCATGACACCCTCATTAACTGTGGGCTATAGAAACAGTTGACCTTTACATCATCTGCCCTATAGATTGCAAGGTCTGAAAAGGGAGCTTTTACTTTTTTTTTTTATGTTTAGTGAACAGAGTTGTTCCTTTATAATTTATGTTATTCAGAAAACAAAGCTCAAACATTGGAATTAGATACATTAGAAAGTCATAAAATGTCATGTAAGGACTAATCATAGATAGACTAGAAAGTCATAAAGTGTCATGTAACGACTAATAGCTGAGGAATAAATTAATAAAAATTATGAAGTGGCTTCTTTAGCATCTATTACATAAAAAAAAAATAGCAAGGGTTGTAAAAGATTGCTTATGATGTCCCAATTATTGAATAAGTTTGGAGACGTGATTGTGAAAGAATTATTCATACAACCTGAAAATATTTTTTAAAAGTAAATATTGAGACACTTTGTTAACGCTATCTAAAATGTTTTAATGTAATCATGTGCATTAGTAGTTGATAATTAATGGCAATTTTACCAAATTTAGTTTTAATTTATAAAAAATATAGTTCCGTTTTAAAACAATTGTATTGGATGTTAAAGAACCCTCCTCCATTTTTTTATTGTAAACACACACCAAACACTACAGCACTTTTAAAACTTTTTTTTTTAGTTGAACTTTTTTCACCTCTCAAAACTTTTTTTCTTTTTACATTTTACATGAACAAGGCAAATAAACAGTAACACAGTGTTGACATTTAATTAACATAAACATTACAATGACCATTTTGTGTTTTTCAATCAAACAAAAAACCCTGGTGAAATTGTAAAAATATTTTCACTATTTTTACTAAAGTGTTTTGGAAGTGAAATATGGTTTTAAAAACGTTGCTTTACTTTCGTGACTGTTCTTTGAATAATTGTGAAAAGTATCTTTTGTTTACAATTGTTTTACAGAAATGAACATTCTTGATGGAGATGTGGAAAGATTATCTTATCAAGGTCGTGTTGCAGAGCGAGATATAGTCCAGGTATTTCTTGTTCCAGCTGGTTCTTTCTTTTTTTTCCTTACCCACTTAGAGTACTTGTAAATTGATATTTTAATTGAAATAAAAAATGATCCCAACCTTTATATTTTCAGTTTGTTCCATTTCGGAATTTCCTGACGACTGGCAGCAACATGAAAGTGGCCAATGCTTACTTAGCCAAAGAAGTCTTGGCAGAAGTTCCAGATCAAATTTTGTCTTACATGAAACGCTACAACATCAAACCAAAGCCGCCCTTACCCAGTTCTGTATCCAATGGAAGAAGCTCACATTTTTCAAATATTCCCCAGGAACCACCACCGCCTTACAGTTCATAGTCTTAATCCTATCCAGAATAGAATACAAAGTAGATTTAGAACAGCTAATAATATGGATAGTATATAAACTTTAATCTCTTTGGGAAGTAACATTTCTCAAACGAAACTAGTTAACTAATTTATCTCTATATTTTTTTTAAATGTACTGGGTTTAGTTCAAACTTGTTGCTAGTGAAAATTTTTTTTTTTATAATTTCTAATCAAATCTTCTATTTATTTTGAACTAAGCCTTATGTGTGTGTGTGTGTGACTAATACATGTGATCATGTCTTAAATGACTTTGTGATGTACCAAGCCCTTGGAAAAAGCTTGATAAATTCTAAACATTGGTCAAGAAAGTGTGCTGTAAAATTTAAATGTAAAAAAAAAATCATCATTATTGAAGAGTGTTGTTTATTACTGAATTCACTGTCCATTGTAACTAATTTAAATGCTTATCTTTTCTTGTAATCCCTACAATATTTTTTGCTGTTATTGATATATTTCAAAAATCATTACACTAAATGAAGTTACATATGTTGTACTTGTTGTTTCAAAAATTTAAGTGAGACATTCATATGAAGATATTTTTTATGAAAGTTTTTATTTTGTTCATTTGAGATATATATATATATATATGTATATATATATATATATATATATACATATATATACATGTATATATATATATATATATATATATACATGTATATATATATATATATATACATATATATACATGTATATACATGTATATATATATATACATGTATATATATGTATATATATATATGTGTGTGTGTGTATATACATATATGTATAGATAGAGAAACACAGTTGTAAGCGAAAATATCTTCATATGAATTTTTAAGTAAAATGTATTATGTTGGTATATTTTGTTTACAATCTTTGAGACTAGGCTCAATGTTTTTTTATTAAAGTAGCTAAACCTATGCTGCTTGATGTAACCAAAGCTACAACTGGTTGGAGATCTTTATGCTGCATTCCAGGCCATCACTGCTCTTAACAGCTCTGTTGATTGGTCATTGTAAGCCTCAATGTAGCCACCAGTCTAACTTCCCCTACTGGTACTTCATGGACTTAAGGTCTCAATTCGGAAATCTTTCTTACTTAATTTCACTTTTTTTTTCCCAAATTGAAAGTAACATGATTTGAAAATTCCTAAATAAATTTATTAGTGATTTTCTCAAAATATTTAGTGATTCTTGTTCCATACTTTTTACTAATACTTGAAATTTTGCTATAATGGGAAACTGGCAGTTCAAGTCTTTAAAATCTGACCACTTGAACAGGGACAGGAATATGAAATTGTATTTTTTTTTTTTATTATGTACATTATTCTCTTTGTACTTGTATACAAAAAAGTTTTGTTTTTTTCAATATTCCAATAAATATGTGATATATTAAGAGCAATGGTTCATCAGACTTTGTGTGAAGTTTAATTGGAGAGAAACTGAACAGTTACACAACTTTAAAAAACTGTGGAGTGTTCCTTATTTTATTTTTTATAGAATATAAAATTTTCAAGTTCTTGTTTTCTACTTTGTTAGAATCAATAATTAACTTCATACTGGTAGGAAATTTTCTTTCACCCACTTGATAGAAGAATTTTTAAAAAAGCTCTATTGTTGAAATAGTCAATAGAAGAGTTTAAATGCCAATTACACAGATAAACAGATGTATTGTGTAATGGAAACATTTCAATGTTATCAATGAGCGAATGTTATTTAGTTTTTTTTTCTATAATCAATATTAGGCCTATCAAACGTAAATTCAAATGAGTTCTTAAGAGAAATAGTATTGAATTATGTTAAATGTCAATCTTCTTTTAGAAGCTGGTGTTCAATTCTATCGATTTGTTTTCAAACCACCCACTTGTTTTTTTACTTCATAGGTTGTTTTTTTATTTATTTTTACAGAGCGTCTATCAACTGAGTCTGTCTAAGTCTATCAACTGAGTCTGTCTAAGTCTATCAACTGAGTCTGTCTAAGTCTATCAACTGAGTCTGTCTAAGTCTATCAACTGAGTCTGTCTAAGTCTATCAACTGAGTCTGTCTAAGTCTATCAACTGAGTCTGTCTAAGTCTATCAACTGAGTCTGTCTAAGTCTATCAACTGAGTCTGTCTAAGTCTATCAACTGAGTCTGTCTAAGTCTATCAACTGAGTCCTGTCTAAGTCTATCAACTGAGTCCTGTCTAAGTCTATCAACTGAGTCTGTCTAAGTCTATCAACTGAGTCCTGTCTAAGTCTATCAACTGAGTCCTGTCTAAGTCTATCAACTGAGTCTGTCTAAGTCTATCAACTGAGTCCTGTCTAAGTCTATCAACTGAGTCCTGTCTAAGTCTATCAACTGAGTCCTGTCTAAGTCTATCAACTGAGTCCTGTCTAAGTCTATCAACTGAGTCTGTCTAAGTCTATCAACTGAGTCTGTCTAAGTCTATCAACTGAGTCTGTCTAAGTCTATCAACTGAGTCCTGTCTAAGTCTATCAACTGAGTCTGTCTAAGTCTATCAACTGAGTCTGTCTAAGTCTATCAACTGAGTCTGTCTATCAACTGAGTCTGTCTAAGTCTATCAACTGAGTCTGTCTATCAACTGAGTCTGTCTATCAACTGAGTCTGTCCAAGTCTATCAACTGAGTCTGTCTATCAACTGAGTCTGTCCAAGTCTATCAACTGAGTCTGTCTAAGTCTGGTAAAAAGTTTGAACATGTTTTGTTTTTCTACTTCTAATTCTTGGAGTTGAAACTCTGCACAATTATTCATTTTACCTGACACAACATAAATCAATAAAAAGAAAATGAACAATTATTGGAAATTAATTATTTTGTTTGATAAAAAAAAAATAAGGGGAATAAATGCTACCTAATGAGAGATGTGGATGTATGTACAGATTTATTCCACGTATTACATTTTGACATGTTTTTCTCCCACTTCCCATTATAGGATCAAGCTGAAATTTTGCATTATTATTCATAGTCGATGACAATAGAAGAATCAATAAAAAAAATTAAGCAATTAGAAAAACATTTCCATCTTGAGATAAATAGCATTAATAAGTGGTTTATTTACCTTAGATAAGCTTTCTTTTTTTAGTATTATACTTTTTTTGTCTTATGCTTTTTTTTTTTTTTTCAAAACGTTTCAACATTGAAGATTGTTTATTCTATAAACCCATAAACATAAATTTCTGTTATTTTAAATCTTAGAGATGATTACCTTCAGTCTTCAGGTGTATGAGTGCAAATGAGACCATTTATTTTGCATGACTGCATTGAACTTTATCTTCTGTTAACTGTGTTAAGTTACACACTTGTCTTCTAGGTATGAACATCATGTTTGTCCTTTAGGTATTAACATTAAGTTAGTTCTAGAGGTATCAACATCATGTCTTCTAGATACCAGCATCATGTCCCCTCAACATCGAGGTCGTCCTGTATGTATCAACATCATGTTTGTCCTTTAGGTATCAAAATCGTGTCCTCTAGGCATCATGTCCCTTAGGTATCAACATAATGTTGGTGTGTGATGGTAAAGAGACGATAATGGGGATGAGGATTTAAAATACGAACTACATTCAGTGAAAATATAAAAAACAAAACATCAACTTCACTATTTCTACCAGATGTTGAAAATAATATCAACCAAAAGTGAGCTGCCAAAATGTTTTATTGCATAAGGATAATTTTTATAGTGATTGCATCTAATTATACATTTATACATAACTCCTGCCATGCTAGCGACGAAGCTTAAATAATTCTTTAAAAAGGCTTTGAGTCAAAGAACAAAAAGAGTGCATTAGGTAGGAAAGCATTTATAAGCAGGTAGCAGGGCCTAAGACTCAGCCTATAGTGATATATAGAAGAAAAAAAAAGATAAGTGCATTGATTGTATTTCACAAAATCAAGCTTAAACCAGTTGATAATGTGTTCAAATCATTTAGGCTATGTACAGACAACATAAAGCAACAGTGTCAGAGCTTCCTACAGTATTCACATGCACAGAGGAATTCATTGATGAATCTTATCCGCGAGTCCTCGCCGCGTCTTTTCCATACATCTCTTCGTTTGCTTCCTTTGGTTGCACGAAATACTCAGAGCAGCGTGTGTTTCCGTGAATAGTTTTAACGTTGTCATGGTGATTGCTGACGCGTAAGGTAAAGACAAAATGGCTAAACACAGTTAATGAACGGCAGTTGAAAAGTTAATCTCAAATACCCAACCCTTTAAAGGCTGGTTTGAACACAAAGGAAATAACTTTTTTATGTACAGTAGATCTACATAAGGATAAGGCTTGTCTTCGAGTCCGAAGATTAATGAGGAATGCAGTATCTTCCGTGGATACAAAACCCCAGCTGCAACCTACATACTTTGCCACATCCAGCGCAGATATAACCATTATCCGTCGGTGGTCGATTTAGATTTTCTTTTTACCGTTTACGTCTGTCCTCTGCGGTGGATTTTCTTTTAGTCTCAAATAAGTAACCCGCGGCCTTCGTAAGTGATTTCAAGCTGTCTCGTTCGGAAGCTGCCTGCAACCAGTGCTCCCTTCTATGTCAGCTAAAGCTACGATCGCAGGAGGAAACGACTAGGCTAAATGGTAGCAAAACAAGACTCCCGTGGGGGTGCGAAAGCATCCTCATTACACTGTGCGGAGTTGTAACAATCCAGGCGCCGTTCCTCAAGGGGCCGTTACATAACTGGCGTGTCCTGCACGGTTAGCCTGGTATAGAAAAGGAAAATGGCAGGGATCCCTGTGCACGCGGTCTTTGGCAGCGAGTCTGACACCCCGCCAGACAGAATAGTGTACACTGTTCTCATTCAGGCCGGTGAAAGGGAGCTCTTGTTCACTTTTGCTAACCCGGAGTTCCAAAAGCCGAATGCTCAGCTCTACCTGACAGTTTCAAGAAGAAGAAGAAAGCTAGTTGGCGCCTAAGCTTGTCTTTTAAAGCGTTTCCGTGGGCACCTCTGTTACGAACTAAATTCTTTTAGACCAAATCCGCTGGCTGCTAAGCTAGTTGTTTTCAAAAATTGTCTTAGACTGCGATGAACTCACTGGCCCAGATTCACGGTTAGGTCGCTGTTATCACATAGTATATAGATCGATATGCTCTGGACTCACCGGCCATGCAACATGGTTAATCTGCATGGTGGAACTGTTTTCTTGTTCAACAGCCACTAGTATAGACACTGAACTCATTGGTTCGATTACATTGTTAGCTTGTATTGTCGAAGTGCTCTTTTTATAAACAATTATAGATCTTTTCAGGACAACTGTATATTCTACGGTATGGAAACACTTTTTCTCAGTTATATTTGAAAAGTCAGAAGTATCGGTGAAGATGTCGACTGTTTTTTTTTCTTAGCCTAACTGCAAAGTAACTTTTGATTAAAACGCCGTGCTTCAGTCATTATTGCTTCAAATTGTTTTTGTTTTTTTTAGTTATCGAAGAAAATGTAAGAAATTCATGTATTTAAAAGAAACAAAATATATGTATTTGTAGATCTTGATCTAAAACCAGTGATTATTACCATTGCCAGGTTTTAGGTGAAATACAACGAAAGAAAGGAAGGTTGAAATAAAATCTGACACTTTAATGTGATAAGAATTTTAGTTTGTTTCCACAATCAATCAAAATATTTCTTGCTTCAGACATTTTCAATTAAATATTATCTGGTATAGGAATCATAGGACCTGGAAGTTCTTTTTTAGGAATTTCAAGGATCGGTAGTTGTAGATAAGCGCCTAGTTTTTGTAGTTCAGACAGGGATTTGTCGAAATTGTGTGCCATGGCAAAGTATGGAGGAACATTCTCCTGCACATTGCCTAGTAAATGTTCATGCCTCGACGCACACCCATCTGGCATGTCATTTAGACAAGATACAGGACAACTTGTTCCTGATTCATCATGTCTATATCGCTTAGGTCCTAGGGACAAGTATTTAAGGCTAGGAGATATTGAGTGACCTAGTCTACATTGCTTCAGTCCCCGGGGCAAGTAATCAATGCTTGGTGATGTTGAATATTGTCCCGA